TTAGAAGGCTAGGGCCAAAATGTTGGCTTTCCTTGTAGCCCTCCTTTTTCTCTAATTTTGGTCTGCAAACTTAGGTTGTTAACCATCCAGAAGAAATTAAAGAGTGTCTTGATACATTGCTGAGTTGCCCATGCTGGGCTCAAACTCTCAATCCTTCTGTCCCAGATCCCCAGAGTAGTAATATTACAGGTGTGCACCACCACACTAGGCAAACCTTTTATCTTTTCCTTTGTTTCATTTTGTCTTGGCTCAAGATAGGAGCTCACTGTATAGTGCAGGCTAGCCTCAAACTTGTGCTTTTCCTGCCTCAGCCTCCCATGTGCTGGCATTACATATCTTCTGCAAAATGTATGTTAAAATTCCTTGCATTCCATCTTCACAAATGCCCAAAGCACAGCAGACTAAGTGCAGGGTTCAATCCCTGGCACCACATACCACGTCAGCCCCGCCCCTAGAGGCACTGAGCTGGCTACCAAGACCGGGCATGGTGGCACAAGCCTGTAATCTTAGTGCTGGGGAGGCTGAAAACAGGAGGTTCACTAGGAGTCCGGGCTGTATAGTAAGACCTTGTGCCAAATACATTAAAAAAAAAAAAAAAATGCCCAAAACACAACAGAAATCATGCAGTGTTCTGCCTGAATTGGGCTTCGTAGATCCCATTTTTCATGTCTATCTGTTTGGCCCTCCTACATAATAACCCTTCGAGGTGCCTGCCTTTCCACTGTTTTGTCCTCATAAGTTGTTGATGTGCAAACCAGAGGTTTCCGTCTGTGCAGGATGCAAAGCAGAACCCAGTACTAGTGGGTTACGGAGGGAGCTGAGCTCCATTCTCATTGAGACACGCCACTGTGCCCCAAGAATTCTGCCCGGACCCCAGCAGACTCTTACATGCCTTATATATTATTTAATCTCTTCCCCTTCAGTACTATTTTATTGTTCATTAGACTGTTAAGTTTCATGGCTTCCTTTTGAGTTTCTAGTATTTTCCTCCTAAGGCTATATCTTATGAGCTTCCCACGCATCCAACAGGAATCTTAGAGCAGGTGTATACACTGACTATCAATTTTTTTCTACAGGTGGCATGTGCAGAGTACAAAACTGTCACCTCATTAAACTGAAAAAGATAGACATTGACTAGGATTTTAAAATTATTTATGTACAGTATTTTATTCACTATTTACTGCAATATTTTATTCACTGTATTGTACTGTTAATGAGAATTGAAACCTGGGGTGCTCTTACCACTGAGCTACATCTCTAGTTTTGGAGACAAGGTCTCCTTAAGTTTCCCAGGCTGACTTCAACCTTGCAGTCCTCCTGCCTCAGCCTCTCAAGTCCCTGGGATTGCAGGTGTCCACCACCACACTTGACTTTATTTTATTTTATGTTTTAGTTGATACAAACATTAAAAATCGTTGGTAGCAATGGAATACCTTGTAATGTTTCAATGCATGTATTCATTGCATACTATTTACATCGGGTTAAATGTCAGTCTCTCCACGCACATCATTTTTTAGGGCAAAAGCTTGCAAAGCCTTTTCTTCTAGCCTTTCGAAATGTGTAGTGTAAGATGGTTCATATACATCCACCTGCACACTAGCACCCAGAGCTGCCTCCTCCTTCCTGCTGCACTGTGACTTGGTGCCCATCGACCACCCTGCCCCCACTCCTCGCTGCCACCCTCCCTGGCACCTGGGTGCGGCCATTCCACGTGCAGCCGCTGTGTGGTCGATTCCTTAGATGTCCCTGTCTGAGTGAGGCCACAGTGCTTGTTGTGCTGTGCCTGGCTCTTCGACTCAACATAATGCTCTGCAGTCCCACCCGTGTTGTCAGGACAGGATTTCACACTCCTGTGGCTAGGCAGGATTTCATTTCATATCTGTCTCAAGTTGTCCTCACCCATTCATCAGCTTAGGAGATGCCCCTCTTGCATCGATGTCTTGGCTCCTCTCCACAGCGCTGTTGTGAACTTGGGGGTGCGGGTGTCACTTTAACATATGGACGCATTTCATTCCCAGGAGCGGGAGTGCTGAGACCTGTGGTGGTTCTGCTGTTTTGTTTTTTGGGCACCTCCCATACTGTTTTTGACAAAGGCGACTCCAGTTACATTACTGCCAAGGGTGTGAGCAGGTTGCTTTGTCTCCACATCTTTGCCAGCACTTGCTAGAAGAGAAGGATTTTTGAGAGGCAAAGCTCTGGTAACTGGAAGTTAAAATCCTGCTAAGTCTGCAAAATGAGCCTTATGTAGGAGACAGCATGGAGCTTGTTAGTTTTCAGCAGCTCTGGAACAAATTAGCCCAAACCTAGCAACGCCTGATTCTTATCTCACCTTTTCCGTGGGTCAGGAACCTGGGTCCTGCAGTTTCATTCAACCTGTCCATGTGTGTGTTCGGAGCTTGCGGCTTTTCTCAGGTACCAGCTGCTGGCAGAAACCGGCTCCTCCTGTACAGGCACACGGTGGCCACTTGCACCGTGAAGGCTGGCTAGAGGGGTTCTCCTTCCCATCTGCTGAGATACAGTCTTGTAGAGTCGACAGGACTGTGTTAGCTTTGTCGCTGTGACAGGATATCAGAGAAAAACCACTTACAGGAGGAAAGGTTTGTCTTGGCTCCCAGTTTCAGGGTTTCAGTCCATTGTTTGGTTTCTGGCCCTGTAGTGAAGGAGACCATCAGAAGGGAGTAAAATTGCTCACCTCATGGTGGACAAGATGGTGACCCCCAAGCAAGAAAGGCTGACAAGGACATACCGAGAACTAGGCAAATCTCTTAGTTGCCCCCTCAGTCCATTCAGCCTGATGGTCAAGATTCACCATTGTGGTGATAGCCATGGGAGGGACATCTTGTCTACCCCACCCAATAAACTAACATCACTTTAGGCATAGTCTCTGCAGTAGAACTGAGTTTTAGGTCCTGCCCATACGCATGTGGAGGGGATTATATAGGGCAGGACTCGCTTCCAGTCCTTCTACTCCATGTAAAACGTAAAAGTTTGCTGTCCGTGAAGATGCCTAAAATGGATGACATGCTCCCAACCCCTCCACTCTGTGGACCTGCTGGAACATTGCATCTACTGGAGTCAGCAGCCCTCGCTGACAGATGAATGGTGGTTTAACCTCATGCAGAAGACCTGGCTCTTGTTCTCTGTGGCCAAGGTGCTTAGGAGTCCAACTCGGTTTGGCTGTGAGGAAAAGCAGAGGTGGTCTTGGGAGCCTCAAACACAAGCCCTGGAAACCTTGTCCAGTCCACCGCAGGGTTCTGTGGAGAAGCACAGGTGCTGCAGGTGCTGTCTTGGTTCCCATGGTTTGGCTGGCCACCGGAAGCCCTGGTCTCCTGCAGACAGGACAGCAAGGTGACTTGTGTAACTGTTTGGCTCCTCGTCTGTGGCCATCTTTCATCTTGGGTCTGCACAGAACGACGAGCATCGAGTTTATCATGCAACTAGCCAAAGACTGAGGAGTGAAAGACACTGCAATTCCTCCTCCCTGTGGGACCACGTGGCCACTTTCGAAGGGCAGCTAATGACAGCGCTGCTGTGTTCAGTCACCTTCTCTGCATCCCCAAAGCAGCACTGAGCGTGGATGCAGTTCCGTGTGCTGGTCCATCCGGGGCTAGTTCCCAAGGATGGTGTAGATTTTGGTTGAATAAGCAGTCACTTGTTTGTTCCTGCTGTTGGCACTGAATCTGGCTTTCAGATACAATTTTTACCTTACCTATCCCTGCTGACGCGTCTTTTTTTCCAGGAGAAACATTTCACTCAGAGATAGGTTACAGATGTAGATAAATTTATAGGTTTATGTAGATGCTTACAGATATCAATGATCTTTTTAAAAATGTATTTAGTGCAGGGTCTACAGGGTTTCACTCCACAGATCGGACTCCTAGTGATCCTTCTGTTTTCAGCCTCCCAAGCCCTGGGATTACAGGTGCGCACCACCAAGCACTGTCTCAGTTGCTGTCTCAACGGGCCCTGGAGGCGGGGTTGGCACAGAACACTGGGGATCGAATCTTAATCTTTTCCTTACAGTGCTGGGTATTGAGCCCAGGGCCACATGAGTGCTAGGCAAGCACTTCACTACTGAGCTGAAATAAAATGGACTGTGAATCACGTATTAACCACTGTCATGTATTTAAGAGCATGAACCTTATTTCCTTCAGTTGGCTTAAGAAGCACTCAGAACAAAGTACGGGCAGCATTTCAGAACTGTCTCTGGTTTCTTCCTGACAGAGGGTGGCGGCTCCCACTTCGTGAAGACCTCATCGCCGCGAGGTGGGGCTAAGATGAGCATAACCAGCGACGAGGTGAACTTTCTGGTGTATCGGTATCTCCAGGAGTCAGGTAAGAGGCTCAGCTTTCGGCAGGAGGACAATTTGTGTTCTGCACAGGATGAGCTGTTGCACAGCAAGAGCTGAGCACACCCCCTGGGGCGGGGGCTGAGGCGAGAGCGAGGCGGGAGCAGTTCAGTCTCTTGGCTTCCTCAGGGCCAGGGCGTTTATGGAAGACGGTACACGTTTGAGCCTTTTTGACCCAGCATCAGAGATTTGTAGAAGCTTCGTGCGCACTAACCCAGCCCATCTCAACGGGGTTCGAGGCCATCTTATCAAATTTAGCAGAGTTTCGGGTTCATCCTAGCACTTGCAGTTGTGACCAAAAGTAGCGACTTGTTTTATGGCAGGAGATTCAGAGGGCCAAAGCATATATGGTCCCTACTACAAAATGCACCTGCCTTTATCAGCAGGCATTTATGGGTGGCTGGAAAAGGAAGCTCGTTATGGCCAGGCTCTGTTATGGACTCGAGGGATTCTTCCAGAGAGCCACTTGGTTTCTAAAGTAAAACGTATTTTTAACTGTGAAAGCATGAAGGTATTGAAGACTTACAAGTGGCATTAATGGAAACACATCTTGTACCCACCAACCCACCTCCCTCAAGGAACAACCCATTTCCGAGGTGGTAGCGATGTCCCCTGGCCCCATTTCTGGATTTGCTCCCACTCAGCCTATGAATTTACTAAGCTTGAATGTTTGCATGAATGATATGAAGTGTGGGTAGGTTAGTTCCTAGGGCAGTGTAACGGGGGACATGTGGTGGTGCTAACAGAAATTGTATTGTCTCATCTTTCTGGGGGATAAAAGTCCAAGGAACTGGCAGGTCCATTCTTCTGCAGGAAGTAGAGAGAATCCATTTCATGCCCCTCTCGTTGCTTGCGGTGGTTTTGCTGGCAGGCATTGGCAATCCTTGGCTTGTAGCTGGGTTGCCTGGACTCTGTGTGCACATTTCCCTCTTGTCAAGACATAGTGCTGTTAAACTGGGGCCTCCTCGTACTCTAGTATCACCCTAGCTTGGCTCATTGCGTCTGCATCAACCAGTTGGATGCACATACAGAATTCTGTGGCAGCTGTCTGTTTCTGTGGCACGCTACCCACGGTAATCCAGTCTGAAGGAGCAGAGGTTGACTTGGGCACATAGCTTCCAAGCTTCCAGGCCATGGACACTTGGGCCTGCTGCTTCTGAGCTCATGGTAAGGCTGCATATCACGAGAGTAGGGCATGGTAGAGGAACATGTACGTCGTGGTGACGGGGAAGCAGCTCCCCTCCAGCACCTTCTCAGTGACACAGCTTCCTTTCACGGGGCTCCCCGGAACTCCGCCACTTCCCAGTATATAGTGTCATGAGCTGGCCACTGACTGTCCATGCATGGGCCCCAGGAGATGTTTTATATTCAAACTATAGCATATTCTACTTGCAGAACAGTTATCTCCCATGAAAGCATCCTAAATTGAAAACACCCTAAGTCACATTGCATTTCGTACCTTCTGAACATCACAGCTTAGCCTAGCGTATGTCAGTGTCTTGGTGTGCATGAACGAGAATTTTGGTAGGGTTTTCCTGATGAAAGCATCAGAAGTTGAAAAGCATCCGGTGCACCAAATACACCTCACCCGTCCCGTGTCCTGGTCCACGTCGAAGTGCATCATAGACGTTAGATGTTCACCCACATGATCGTGGGTCCCCTGTACATCCAGGGGCTCCTGCATCCATCACAAGAGACGATTGTAGCACCTAGCCCTGGCCTGGGAACAGACCCAGACGCAGGGCTCAGACTGTACCACGGTGAAGTTGAAAGCTTGCAAGCTGAACCACTGTAATTCAAGGGCTGTTCCTGCTCACACTGAGGGGGCGACCGGGTCCTGAGGGTCTGCGTGGCCTTTTAGACACTCGACCTAGAGAGGTGGGACCGGCAGGCACTGGGGCCGCAGAGGATGGCACAAACCCCCGTCCTGACAAGGGCGTGAGGTAGGCTGGGAAATTAGGGGGCAACAGCGCTCATATCCCAGGTACCACCTAAGTGATTAGCGTTGGGTGGGGGCTGGTCTGATCGGAGCCCATATAGAATGGAGGCAGAATGCCAAGCCTTTTCTGATTTTAGTTTTACAGATGGAGGCCTAGCCTCTGGGTCCTTGTTGCCAAACAGGCACTTGCCAAGCAGGGTCAAGGCCCTGTGAGTCTGTTCCCCGCACCACCAGAAAAAGTAAAGCCCTAAACTGAAAATAGGAATTTGACTTCAGCCTTCTACAGAACCTTGTGTGTGTAAAAGAACAAGGTGGCAGCGACCTGGTGGCAGCTGAGAGGTTCTCCTTGGTACAGGCCCCTGACTGTGCTGTAGCTAGGTCATGAGGCGGGTGTGCTTTTGTGGAGTGGAGTCAGGTAACATCCACGTGGCCTTAGAAGTGAGTGATCCCTCAGGCCTTCTGGGGATCTGGGGAGCCAAAGGAAAACGCAGAGCTGTTTGGAGCAAGCGGCAGAGGTCGGGTGGATTGTAGCTTGGGTGCTTGCATGCTTGGGAACAGCGCAGACTGGGTAGAGCGCCCGTGCCGTGCCCGCCTGGCTGGCTTCTCCTGGGCCTGGGTAACTGCCGCGAGCAGCCTCTACATTGCACTGGGAACCACAGGTGATGAGGAGCTGTGTCTCTCCTGCGAGTGGGGAGCCTCTGCACCAGCTTCCCTGTCCCCTGCCCAGTGAATCGGAATGTTTCCGCAGCGCCCGCTGTGACCCCGGGCCCGGTGCACGTGTTCCGCCTGCTCTGTGCGGGCAGATCTGTGCAGGTATCAGGAACGGCCTTGCCACGCTGCATCAAACAAGATTTCATCCTGTCCTTCAAAGCAGAGTTTTTCCGCCACGATTGCTGGTTATATTTGGGGCTAGATCCTTCTTCGTGTGCTGTGCCTTGGAATTTGGCAGCCTCTGCCCTCTGGATGCCAGGGGCATGCTTCGTCCCCTCCACCAGGACAACTAAAAATGCCCTAGAACGTTACAAAGTCGCCACTGCTGAAGAACCCTGGGTCTAACTCCTTTGGCTGTGGGGATTTTCTTCCGGTTATTTTGGTCTGTGGGGGAGAACCGATTAGCCTTCCTCCGTCCCGTCCCGTCTTCTCCTTGGGCTGGCGACTGCTAGGGGCAGAGCTAGGTGCAGGGCCTGTTTTCGTTAAAACTTTCCAGGGTTTTTTTTTCCCCCAGAGGAAGGGGAGAACATGCCAGAAGCACTCTGTCTGGCAGCCAGTAAAATAATCAGCAGCAGACTTTGGGTCCGAATGTTTTTCCCTGCGCTCTCTGTAAATAGGTCCCATAAGCAGGAAAAGGCTGCTGTTCTGAATAGTGGTGAATAACCGCACCTCCAGAATGGTGAGGCAGCCTCTCCTGCGGTCTCCCTGGCACCCCCAAGTGAGCTGGGCTCTACTGTGAGTCCTGGGCTGCGGGTGCTTCGTACGCGAGGCATGTTGCCATGGATTTGGGAAATCATTTTAAGGTTCTGCTCTCTTAATTTAAACAAAAGTTCAGGACTTATTGCTCAGCTGGGTCTCTAAAAATGTTTTTTGATTGCAGAGGTCCTTTCACATTGCTAATGTGTTTCTGTGTTAAAAAAAAAAAAAGCTCTTGGAGAACAGGTGAGGGAAGCCTTTCTTGGGGGGCTGGTGGCCTGGGCTTCAGACATAAATGATAAAGGGAATACTCATTTCATCAGGTAATAGGTAAGGCTTGAATAAAGTCCATGTTACCAGTCCGTGGGGTCCTGGAAGGCGGTGATGTCCCATGTGGTAATGGGACCCCATTAGGTGTTGCCCATACACTGGGGTGGGATGCTGGGGAGTCCAAGTCCACCCCAGATTGAGTGCCCCTGGGTTGGGACGCACAGGACCCAGGAGCTGAGTCACTGTCTAGTACAGCAAGAGAGTGCAAATTAAAGTTGGTAAAAGAAGAAATGTGTGGTCCTAAGGCCACCGGAAACCAGACTTGGCTTCGGGTGTTTCAGTTCTGAGGCCAGGGAGTAGCACGGCAGTGATGTAGGGCAGCACGTGGCGACGTGTGATCACGCGTGTGAGATATGGCCAGCCACACACACTCACTTAATGCTGGGTGTCCATGGAGCTGTGAGGGACCCACAGTGGGGGCGGACAGTGGAGTCACCGCCCCTCCTAGCGCTGCTAGTTGTCAGCTGTTGCCTCTTAGCTGGAAAAGACTGTTTCTCTATACTGTTCTCTAGGTTTGATGCTAGCCACGTACAGTAGCAAAATGTAGGGATCTGCATGCAGGTTGTGTTCCTGTTCAGCTTTGGTGCTTGGATCTTTATGAAGTTTATTCTTGTAATTGGTCTTTGACTGTGAGCCAAGATTCTGCCTCTCCCCATTCCCACCTCCCTTCACCTTATGTTGGGGTGTAGATCTGACACACTCCCACAGACTCTCTTCCTGCGTTTGGAGGTGGGGCCAAGTTGGAAGAGGTAGTCGTGGAAGACCTGGAAAGGCTGTGGCTGCTCCAGGCTCCTCCCTTCGGTTCCTGCTGCCTGGCTGCCCCGGGGTGAGGACCTTTCCCCAGCCACAGCCTTGCACCGCCCTGTTTGGGCCTCAGAACCAGCCTCAGAGCCACAGGTTCCATCTGTGGATGGAAGCCGGAGCCCAACAAGCCTCTCCTCTCTGAAATTGCAGCTGTTGGGTATTTTGTCCCAGCAATGGAAAGAAACTACTAGGTCATCTGTTTAAATGAGTTTTTTTATGTTTGTCAGAACAGAAAAAGCCCCATTCCAGCTAAGTTCACAAAAACCAAAAAAAAAAAAAAAAATGTTTTTAATGAGAACTAACTAAATTTTGCAAATAAGTCTTGGCCGTGCTTGGGGTTGTTAATTTGTTAGAAGGGGAAAACAATTTGAATGAAAATCAGTTAAGTGTTTCTAATTATAGTGGTTTAAATATGTAGCCAAAAAATAAAACTCTTACGTGTTTTAATACAAAAAAAGGTTAAATTCTGTTAAAGATGTAGAGATGGGGCTTAAATTAACCTTCTC